TAAGGGAAAGATCCCGTCTATACCCTTTTCTGGGCAAGTTTCTCAAAGCAATTTTGTGGCGGAATCAGTTTGTTTGTGGCTAGGCTGCTTTTTTGGAAACTGAGGTGTCCCTGCCTGCCCTAGCCTTTCCCCCTTTTAGTGGAAGTGCCAGCTGCTAAGGAAGATTTCCCAGACCACCCACTTCAGGCTGACTTCACTCAGGCTTTTCCCCAGCCACAGTCGTTTCTTGCTACAGGCACAAACCCAAGATGACAAATTATTTCCAATATGTCTAACAGATACAAGCTGCAAAACAACAAAAAAGGTGCCCATTCCTGGCTACCAGAGGTGCTGCAGCAGGAGACCACAAACCGATGCAAAAAAGGGGCTATAGAAATAATAGTTTAAACGCGATTCCTGGAGGAATCAACTCCCACGTGCTACCTGCCTGCTACAGTAGTGTCCACACAGGCCATAAAGCTCCAGTTTCACAGTGGCAAAACTATAGCACGATTAGCCAGCTGTGTGGGAAGGATTTAAAGAATAAATGGAAAATGCAAGATAGCAAGGAAGGCAGACGTCACTTCTCCTTTGTTTAACCTCCCTCTTCCTGTGCAGAGTTAAAAAAAAAAATCATGAAGGTATACAAAATTCTCATAACATCTTTCAGGACTTTGCTTTGAACAAGTTGGCCTCTCCTTCCCTTTACCTCTCCTTCCCTTTCTCATTATGCTATTGGTAGAATTCCTTAGAAGAAACTCACTCTCACAGGTATACTCGCCTCAAAGGGCGACATTATCTTACAACTCCAAACAAAGTAACACAAATAATAACAATAGAAAGGGACTGAGTAGTCTTTGAGCACTAACAGAACAAATAGGTCACCATGCTTCTGCCGTTTCCAACTCTGCCAGCCTCCCAGTGTGAGGAAAACGAACTCCCACGATAAACGTTACTGAAAGATCACAGCCCTCAGACTTCCTTAGTTCCTGCAGGACTGAGAAATCATGAAACTTACCCTGAGGCCCAGACTTTGCACAGAGGGCACGCAGCAGAGACGTCTGTGCTAAGGAAGTAGCAGGGACCTGAAATCAGGTGAGCTGGCTGGATCAGCCTGGAGATTTTAGGGAATTCAGACAAAGATCTGCAACACCAGTATCACCTACATGACCAGGAAAACATGCCTCCTGCCTCAGTTTTTTTGATATTCACTGTTTTGTTTAGCTGGGGGCACTTAAATAACTTCTGCTTTTTGGAGATAAAGGGAATTTCAAATCTTCAGAAAGGAAAAGCACCAACCAAAGCCTGATCTCTTGCAGGGAGCCATGCACTTCTGTCTTCTTATGTGGACAGGAGATGAGTTTTCATCCAGACTCTGCAGAGGTGCTACCCAAGCCCAAATGCTTCTCAGCTACAACTCCTCCAGCTGCAAAATGCAACTGAGAAACTCTTTCTAGCCCTTTACTCGCTCACCAAAACTTTCTTCCAAAATTCCCCACTACCCTTTCCCCAGCCCACTGACAAGGGGTTTTACACCAGCACACCTCCTCCCCATCCCTCGCAGTCCCTAACTCCTGGTCCCTCAGGAGCATCCCAGCAGCACAGGGGAGCACTGAGCCTGCACCTGCCTTGCAGGGACAGCCTGCACAGTGAGCAGGATGCTCCACATCCAGCCTTAAGTCTGAACTCAGACTGGCACAATCTGTATCCATGCATCTGAAATATCTCTCCAATGTCTCCTATACTATCCTACTACCCTCTTTGGATCAGTATTTGGACAATGAGAGCTATCTTCCCTCTTAAAAATACCATACTCTTCATACTACCATACTTTTTTCATTATTTAGCTTCAAATTAATTAGCCATTTATTATATTCAATCCTTCTTCCTTTTTAAAGTCCTATCACGTGACCCATTCTTATGCCCATTTCTTACACCACATTCAGCTCTTTTCCCTTTGCTGCTGTCACTTCTGCTCCTCAAGCAGAGACCTACCGTGCATGCATTTCTTCCTCCTGCTGCTGGCAGAGAGCCAGACAGCCATGCTGCGTCTCTGTCCCAGCTCACATCCTTCCTCTCCATTGTTGGCTGATGAGTGCTGCTAGCTCTTAAGTAACGCAGCCCGCACAGGCAGCGCTTGATTTGGGGGAGTGGGGAAGGGAGAGAGCGCTTGTGGGGGGTCTTCTCCCACCGCATTGGTAAGCTGCTATGCATACACGCAGTGCTATAGGAACTAAAGGCAAACAAATACCTTGCCCAGCCTCACGAAGCAAGTCTGCACATCAGATCAGGGGACTGCTCAGGCAGGCCAAGGAGCACCTGTGAAAAACAGCTACAAGTGCCATCAAAGACCTGAACCAGAAAACAGGCCCAGACAGCACGCAGGTGATCAGAGCCCTCCAGGGTGACCAGCAGGAGGAGCCTAGCCCAACTCCTCATGCAGTTATATGTAGGCACGCAAAGGGTTGCCTTTTATTTCTGAGTGGCATGTATTTTCGGAAACAGAATATTCTTCTGAAACTGTGCAAACTCTGACCCTCCTAACCCTCACCCAGGCATTCAAACTTCCCTGCTTTTACCTTCATCCTGATCTCCATATGGAAGATATTGCACTAGTGCAACGTATTCACCAAAGATCTGTTAGATCTCCACTCCATAAAGCCCACACAGTTTCAAATACACAAGAGTTCAGAGCTTCACTTCAAAAGATTTTTAATTTAGAAATGCAGTTATATACATAGAACAATTAAATTAAACTTTGTACAAATATTAAAATACTATCTTCACACCCACTGCAATGTACAGGATACCAGAAAATATATATAAAATAAAGCAAAGTAAAACTGATTGAGTGACATCCTGCACAGCATCAACGATGGTTTTGTTTTTAAAACCCACATATATACGGAGTACCATTCTGCAAATAATTCCATAGTGGTGCAATTCGGATTAAAAAAAAAAAAACAACCAACCAACCAAACAGGAAAAAAGATTAAAGCACTGAAGGCAACCAAGCTCCCCTTGCATTTGCATCAGCAACTACCAGCAGTCTACCCACTGCATCACAGGACACCCGCTTCGCAGATAGCTCAGCTTTGTTTTCTTTTTGAATCAAGTGAAGTTGAAATTCAGAATTAAAACATCTTCCAGCACTACACAGTTGCCTCTGTCCTCGCTCACCCCAGGACAGAAGCAAAAGCACAGCTTACACAAAGCATATGCAGAGCATCAGTAGAACCCACTCTGGCAGGGGGTGCGCGTATGTGCATGTGCGCGTGCGTGCGTGTGTCCACGGGATCTGCAGAAGGCCAAGTTCAGAAGCAGTGCTCGGGGCCCTGAAGAGAAGCGTGGGAAATGGGAAACTGCATGCTTCCTGTCCCGTGGAGGGGACAGATCATCAGGATAGTAACTCTTGGGTTGGTACGAATAAGGTTCTGAAATGTTGGAAGAGGGTTTGTTTCCTGTATAAAAATAATCCTTAACATAAAGCCTGCTCTAAGAAGCCTCTCTGCACTTTCAAAGCCTTTTATACAGAATAAAAGTTTTCTAGTAAAGTTCCTCTGCAAACAAAGGTTTTCACATAGAGCAAGACGAATCCGCAGCTCTCGGTAAGTACTGCGGAGGCTGGGCTGAGGCAGGATGTGGGATGCGTGTGGAAAACAGATGGGATTTATTGCATTTATTTACAGGAACCAGAAAGTGAAACTGATTAGCTATCTGCATGGAGTAAAAGGACAGATTTTTTTTTTTTTTTAAACAATTGCCATCACAACAGTAAAATCAGGTTTTGCATATATGCTCTAGAAAGGTCAGCAAGAAAATTTCAGTGTGTCCAACTAGTTGCACGTTACCATTTTTTATATAGCAAGCCTGCTGCTGCCTGCTAGATTAGCTAGACAAGGAGCAGCTTCCTTACAGCTGGCCATGAACGCATTGGCTCTCATTAAAAACAGAGGTATGTTGCAGGCCAATAAGGCTCTTCCTCACTCCCCCATCTTCTTGTGTTCCTTTTTCTGTACTGCAAATGACTTACCTAGAGCATTTCCAATGGCTGAGCTTGTTGCTCTTCCCTCACCCCACTCCTCAGTATTGACCCAAATCATCTACTGTGGGAGCATCATATGTTCCCTCCCCAAGCAAGTGGAATATATTTATTCCTCACATACCTGACTACTCTATGTGCTGAAATACCAAATAAATGCACTAAGCTCTGCTTCTTCCCAAGTTCATGCAGTTTTAGCTTAGTAACAACTCCACAGGCTCATACACTGCAAAATTGTCCCTCCTTCTGGCTTCATTTTTTAGCACTTTTACAACTTAATGTGGAGAGATGCAAGCTGACTCATGGTTTGATCTGAGCTTCATGATACAGACCCCAATAGACTGCCCCACTTCCTCATGGGTTACTTTCAGCTTCGCTTGCTGGTTCTTAGACTGGTCCAGGTCCGTAATGCTTGGGTTGTAAACACTGCAGTAGGCTAGGTTTTGTTTTGTTAAAAACAAAAAAAAAAACAAAAAAAAAAACCACCCACATAACTCAAAGAAAGCAAGGAGGTTTTTCTATTGCACATAGTATTTTGTGAATTTCTGAAATGCCCTTTCAATTAACCTATCAGATCCTTAAAAAAAACAAAAAATCCTTTAAAATAAGTGCCATTTTTAATTTTACAATGTAACTAAATCATTTTAATTTTCTTCTTGAACATCTCAGAGTCCAGCAAGTATGAAAGAACACGAGATGATTAAGTTGGGAGTGTTAAATAAGAAAAAAAAAAATGCCTCACTTGGAATTCTGTTGTCAGGCACAGGTGGGAAAAGAGGTAAGGAAGCTGTGGCCCCACTAGTTAAAAAAACACCCAACAACAACACACAGCTGAGCCCTTGCTGCTCCCCATTCACCACACACTGAGATCCAGGCTGTGTTTACCTCCATCTGCTTATGCCTATGCCATCTATCACAGAGGATGCACTCTTTGCTTAGAGGTAATGAATGCTCCCGAGACAGAGCAGAGCTCATGACTGAGGGATCTTCAGGTCTCAGTCCTTGCTCCAGTGAATAAAGACAGGAGTGTTCAGTTTAGTTTGTCTTTCTAAATCTCTGCCCAAAGACTTCCCAATCCTTCAGCCTCCGCAGAATTAAAGCAATCATGAGTGATTAACAATCATTTGATATCAGTAAATTAGATGAGGTCTTCCTCCTCCTTCCATTTGAAAACAATCATCAAGCAGAAAACTCTTCAGGTTCCTCCCCTACCCATTCTACCTTATTTTACGTGAAAATAAACTCCAAAGCTGAAGGCTTGGGAAAGAGGGATGCGATAATCCAAAAACTCTTTATTCATGTTCCAGCTTGCAGAGGTCCTAAAGGCCCATTTCCACATGGCACTGTTGCTGCACGGGACAAGGCTCTTCTGCAAGCGCCAGAGGAGAGTCAGCGGGGTTACAGGCTAGCACAGCAGAGGGAGCAGCTTGAGCCACAAGCAACACACCCGCAGCAGGAGCTGCTTTTACCCTCTTAGCAAGTAAACAGGTGTTGACTGTTTAGGCCTGATCACAAGACCTATGCATACAAGTTCCCCTCCACCTACACTTTTCTTTTCTTTTTTTTTTTTTTTTTGGAAAGCCATCTCCAGTAATTTCTATAAATGAAACAACAGTAAAGCACTCCCTCTTCTGTGCAGCTTCCTTCTCTTCTCCACCCAAATTGAAACTTTTTCTCCCAGACTGGTGGCTGATCACTTTACAACAGCAGAGAAAGGAGGCAAGGCCACTCAGTATGTGCTCTTTGCTCACTGAGCATGTGATTATCCAGGGCAAAGTCAGGCCCCCCAGCTTCCTTAAGGGAATACTTCTTCCACCAACCCAGTACTACACTGAGTTCAGGACTGTACCTTGCAGGAAGACAGCACGCACCTGACTTCTGCATCTCTGTTGCTAGGAGTCAGTCTGAGTAGACAGGACCTTAAACTATGTAAAGAGCAACTCCTCCTACTCTGTTTTCAATAGGAAACAGGAAAAAGGTCACATATTCTTCCCTTCTCACCATACACTCACTCGCTCCCTCTACGTGCTTTGATAAAATCAGTGAATGAGACGCTGCTCAAGCTTAGATCACTTTTTAAGGCAGGAATTCAGAACTAAGCAAGAACGTTCCCATACTGCGATTTTCTAAAATGTTAACAGCAGATGGGTAAATAACACTTGCCCTCTGCACTGCTTGAAGTTGAAACACTAAAGCCCTAGGTAAAATGACATGGGATTTTCATCACCCGAACTGAACAAAAGACTCAAACTCAACCAACTAAGTTTATCAAATCCTTGTGCTAACCTAAGATGCTATGAGCCACAGGGAAGGAAGTTTAAAATATTGTATTTTTAATTTAATAATGTCCCTCTAAAACAAGGATAGGGAAAATAGCACTCTTCCATCCACAGGCATGTGCTGTCCCAGCTGTCCTAGGAATTAACGGTAATCAGAAACAGGAGTAGCAGGCAGACGGCTGGACACCATGGCCAATCCCTATTTCCAGGAACTGGATCAAAGCCACAGTCTTAATGCCTTAAAAAGTGTCATGTCACTTTTACCAAGTGCTGTGACAATATGTTCCCAGAGCAACAAGGATGAGGACTGTGAGGATTGTAAAAGAGAAGCAAAGCAGCAGTGACCAGCATCCCTGTTCACCTGTATGTTACTACATGATGTGTAAGGCCATGACGTTTTGCTCCTTCAACTCAAATGAAAATTTTAGCAGCTTCTCACAGGGCAAGCACTGCCTTGGTTGCCTCAAGGCAGTTTTGACAAGGTACGCACATTCTTTCTAAGAAGCCTAATTTTCTGTTGAAACCAGTTCCAAGGAACGCTCTCTCCACAACACCCCCCTGAACTTTACTACCACCACAGTGTTTTTTGTTTGGCTCACCTGTCCCACATGAACTTGGTTTCCTGCAATAAAATCCTGTTAACAGCAACCAGGACACTCTGACCTGCTGTAGTAACTGTGGGAGGCGGACATATACACATTCTTGGATTTTTTTTTTTTCTCTCCTAACAAGACTTCCTTAAAACAATCTTGAATATTCTTGTTCTGGAATAAGTTGTGGTGTCCTCTGGCACCACTGTCCAAATGTAGCCAACCTTCCTTCACAGCAACAGGCAACCATGCTGTATTTAAGCGAGACTTCACAGAGCACTTTGATCCCCAGCCGCAAGGAAGAAACCTTTCTGTGTAGGCCCACTGAAGCACATCAGGTTAAAATTGCAGACTGACTATATATGAAGTTAGGAAGACACACTAGCCATTTGGATGGTAGTTACCCAGGGTTCAAGTACTCAGGTCCCCAGTATGACTGGCAAGGTGATTCGGGATTGCACCAATGCGACCTTGCATTCACTACCTGTGGGCATTTTTCTCCTGACAGTTTCAAACAGAAGAACCACTACCAGACTACAACTGAAAAGCATTACCTCTGCCTGAAGACCTGAGCAAGGGGAACCCAAGCAAAAGCGCAGAACAGCCTTAGTAATTGGAAAAGCTTTGCAAGACACACAACATATTCAGAAGAATAGGGCCACAAATCAGGTTCCAGTCCTGATGCCTAAGTGAATGGGACTAACTCACAATTAACACAGGCTTGGTTAACTGAAAGTCAGATCCTCCTGGCTTACTTACAAATGTGCTCATTTCTGGACCCTGCTGACCAGTGGCCACCATGGCTCTCCCACAAGCTAACATCAGGAGCTGCTCCAGCACCAGATCAAAGCCAAAACAGTTGTCTCGTCTGCTGCACAGTCACAGTCCCAGCTTCCAGCGCAGCTGAGTGAACTGCACTGGTAGTGAAGGAAGGAGAGTAGAGTGAGATTTTCAGGAGTGGACTCTTGTGAAGGGATGCAATCGCTCTGCTATACCAGAAGGTATTGAGAGGGGCAGAGGGCCTTCCCAAACATTAGACTTCTCAGTCTTCAGAGCTCTAGCAAATCTCAGTGAATCGTTATTGCACAGCTAAGTTATCACATAGCCCATCTCATTCCAGGCACTTCTAGACATCACAAGTTGCCTTGTAACTGGAATCTCTCCCAAGCCCAGGTTCAGTCCCATTTGTCCTGCCCTATCAAAGAGGATGCTGAAAGAAAAGCCTATATAATATACATACGTATATATAAACCGTGTCTGCACCCGATGAGCAAGTAGATTTTGCCCCTGCTCTCTGGGCAGCAGAAGGGCTAGAGAGGCTGAGAAGAAGCTGCAACAAGCCGGTGTGAGTAGGAGAAAGGCACAAGAAAAGAGCAGCTCTCCAGAGACTGCTGTCAAACATCTGGCTGGGGAAAAGGAGAGGAGAGCTCAAATCCACTATGTTCCTTGAGCCCCTGATGCAGATGGAATGGGGAAGCCAGCACTGCACCAACCCCACTGGTGCATCCAGGAGGCAACCTGGCGACATCCTTTGGATCTTCAGCTGAGGGGGTTTCTGCTTGGAGGTATCCAGGGCACAGCTTGCGAGGATGGGGAAGGCTGCACAGAGTGCTTCTGTCCCGAGGAGAGGGGGAAAGGGAGAAACCCAAGAAGGAGAAGGCTAGACAAATGCAGCAGGCCTCATGCTTCCTTCAATAAGGGAATATCTGGATGGGGGGGAAAAAAAAGAATAGAAAAGAAAAGAAGTCAAACTTTATGCAATTCAACACACATAAGAAGAACTACTGTTGAAAGCAAGACAAGCTCCCACATCTTGCTACGCAGGCTACCACAGCATGATAATGCAGAGTTCTTCCTCTCATTCGAATACAGTGGAAGGGACCTCTGCAGGGTTTTGGTCCAACCTGCCCCTGCAAGCAGAACCATCGCCAGCCCCAGGCTTGAAATTCTCCAAGGACTGAGATTCTACCACTTCTCTTGGTGCCTCTTTGGTCCTGCACTACCCCCTTGCAGAATATATTTTCCTAATGTCCAATCTGCTAAGTTGCAACTCGTGGCCGTTGCTCCAGGTTATATCATTTAGCATGAGTGAGAAAAGTTTGGCTCCACTGACTTTTTAACTACCTGCTAAGTAACTGTAGTCAGCTATTGGATTGCCCCTCAGCATCATCTTTGCCAGATTAAAGAAGCCCAGCTCCCTCAGCCTCTACTCAAGCCCCTGATCATTTTGGCAGCCCTCCACCAAAGCCTCTCCATCTCCACATCCCCCTAGAAATGGGGGTCCCACACAAGGCACAGTATTGCCAGTGCATCCTCAGCAGTGCTGTGTAGAGGAAGGCAGTAACTTCCCTAAAAACAAAATTTCCACCTTTGCCATGACCTCCCCAACCTTTTAGTTTCTTAAAATGTCCAAGACAAGAAGTTTCTTGCTGTGACAGGGATGGTAAGGAACATAGATCACACTCGCTCTCATCTAACTTGAAAAAAATGAAACCTCCTGCACAGATGGGAGGTGCAGCAGCTGCAGGTTCATCATCTTTGCATCAAAAGCACAAATCTCATTGCTCCTGCTGTAAAGGGCAATCTGCTCCTGTACGACAAGCATTAGAGTCAATATGGGTTTCTGGGCAGTGATAAAAATGATGCAGTGCAGAAGCAACATCCTCTAATTTTTGCACTGCAGACATTTTTTGGTAATGCCCGCTCTTGGATTCTTGCTTTTTTACACGCTTGAAGTTTAACGCCCATCTCGGGACATGCTGCTATTTCTGCCCTTTGGTGGAAAGGGCGTTTGATTGTTCTCATTGGAAGGGTTCAGAACGACATGACTAAAGCTGTGGTGCTTGACACTACGGAAGGGAGAAGTTCCACCCTGAGCTATCTACAAGCCAGTTACCTTTCTTGCTAAGACACAGCAGGCTCCGCAAAAGCGACCTTAAGCTGCACCTTCACATCAGCTCTGGCATTGTCATACCACTCCTTCAGGGCAGAACAAAGAAGCCGAAAGAGTTCTAGGTGGACTGACTGTTAAACAACAAACTTGCACCTCTGCCCTGTATGACTGAAAGTTCAAGCGTATACCTTTTAGGTCTTCTCATGTGTCAGGGCTGCAACTGTGCATGCAGTGGCAATAAGCTGCTTATTAACAGAGACCGAAAGTGGAGAAGCCTAAACATCACAAAGGGCTTGTATCTCAAGCTTATCCTTGCAGCTCCCACCCAACTATGGTGGAGACTCATTTCCACAAATGCAGTTGTTTACTGCAACTGCCCTGCGATGCTGGCGTTTCACTGCTTTCCTAAAACAAGGAGAGCGAGCAGAACTCCATCAGGCTTTCCACACTGCCCTGGATTCCCAATCTGGCAGTGCCAGATACTTCAGAAGACGATATTAGGTCCTGCTTACACCTCTAAGTTGTGTAAAATCAAGCCATGGAGACTGGGACACCTCTTTTCAAATGCCCCTCTGGCGCTTGACATATTTATTTGGGCATTCTTTGCCATTTTCATCCTAGTTGGACACGCTGCAGGAGAACCTACTCTTACAAGTGTCTCATTCAGTGCTCCTCGCCCAGGTCACGTACCATCTGTGTATTCCTCAGAGGAAGTGAGTGATAAAAGGCTCTGTATGTCACTGCTTTCCGAGTCTTGGACCTCTTTGTGCACAGCTTTACTGCTAGACATGCCAGCTACCCAGGAGGAGGTAGCAGCTTGATGCACAAGTACAGTTTCAGAGCGCTGAGAGCCACTGGCTTCACACAGTCCAGAGTGTCCTGGAGCTTCATCTTCTCTATCAAAGCTATTGCAAGCCCCTTGGTCCTGCTGCTGCATCTCTCTGGCTCCGTTCTGCCCAGCTCCCTCCGACAGCACGATCTGCACCCGGGAATCCGAGGGTGGAACGCAGTTTCCTGTGCTGCCATATACCGCTTCTTCGTAGGATGGCAAGGCCACCTGGACACCATCCACCATAATAGAGACCTGATCTCCAGACACACCTTGGTCTCGCCTCAGAGAGAGAGGAAGGAAAAGTCACATTAAGCATTTTTATTTTATTTATAAAAGATATATATACACTGGGAATCCCAGTAACCACCCCTCTCTGCCACAGCAGCACTCTGCTGCTCAGCAATGACTTATTTATGGGAGAACAGAAAAAGGAACCTGGGTGGTGTTTTACCAAGCTCTTATTAGAAACAAGCCTGGCTTTGCAGCTCTGCTGTGAATTGCCATAAACGTGAGCAAGAGGTGTAATTCAAGTGTCTGACAGATTTATCTGTAAGAGCTGAACAGGTTTCAAGCCATCTCACCTCACTTGCCTCCATAGCTAAATCTGACATGATCATGACTCAGAGCTCTCTGGTGTCACAGCATGCAGATGATGAGAACTCAGACAACCACTGATTTCAGTTTGATACACCGCTATATTTTGCAACACCAGGCACTGCCTGTTCTGCCACCTTTGCTGCTGCGGAGATAACCTCTGGCAGAGGTGGGGCAGATAGCTCTTAAATCATCCCACTGTGAATCACCCAGGCTCGTGAGCCAGAGTCCTAAGATTTTTTTCTTATCCATAATGGTTTGGACTTCTGCAGAAAAGGGCAAATTCCAGGTTGCCACCTCTCAAGCCTCCCAGCTGCTGGACAGCCATGCTCCCCGTACCAGTAGCTGGTTCAAGAAGAGGGAGTCCACAGTGACTCTGTTCCCCTCAGATGGCAACAGTGTTACAGCCCGGTCTCTCCTCTCCACAAACTCTGGCCAGGAGGGTTCTTTCCCCACAAGCAGGGAGCTATGGCAGATTTGCACATCTAATTAGCAATACTGGCAGAATTCATGACCATAGGATCTGACAAAGAGACTGGGAGAGATACATAAATATCTGGACACTTTGGAAACTACCCAGGGCTGGAAGAGCCAGGCTAGTAGGGGTCGTAACTTTTTACATAGGTGGCTAAGGCAAAAGAGAAGAAAACCACCCATTCAATGAGAGGTTAGAACGGCAACTGCAGCAGGGCACTGCAGACCACAATGTCAGACTACCGCTAGACCCTGGGGGAGTGGTGCCACTGCAGTGCGCAACGCGGCAGTGCTGGGCAGGATGTTCACGCACAGGGGTACTGTATGTCTGGGGAGTCAGAAAGGAAGTGGTGTGGCCATCTGTGAACCCAGAGAGCCCCCTGTTTTGTAACTGGAAACGCACAGAAACCGGAAGCTCAAAGTGTCAAGTAAAAGAAAGATGTTATCATAGCCACATAGCTCTGGGGTTTGTCAGGCCTGACGGCTTAAATACGAGACGGAAACATTCTGCCTCCTCCATCCCCTTCTTCCCTGAAAATGAAACTGCGCTGTCCTCAACCTCTCTCCCCATCCTGTCCTAGGTAGATTCTAAACGTAGATTCTAGCCCAGTTGAAGCTTTTGGTCTGCTGACTACTACAAAAATAGCCTGTTGCAGGAATCACACCTTCCTTCACTGACCTGTAGGGCTGTATAGAGACTGGAAGATATGGTAACCAAAAGCAGAGCTTGGCTTACCATCATATCAGAACACGTGAGGGATCTCTGAGGATGCTGCAAAGCCCCACAAGACAATATAACTTGAAGAAAAATAGATACGGTGATCAAAGCAGAAGCAAGCAAGGGGATAAACTGCTCCAAAATGAAGGCCTAAACCAAATATCTCACGGGGTTTCTGTTGCAAAGAAATAGGACACCTCTGAGTCCCTCTAAACCCCAGCTACACTTACCTGTTGTGATGGAATGACTTCAGCTTTGGCTGCAGCAAAACAAACAGCACAACTAAGAGAAGAATCAGGGCGACGGAGCTTGCTGTGGAGGCCACTATGGAGAGCGTGGGTACTCCAATTGTTGGGGGAGAGCTTTTTTCTACAAATGAAGAGGAACAAAGGTTAGAAGGATCCACTCCCTTAAATCACTTCCATGGAGAAAAGGAGAAAAATTCACACTGCCTGCTCCTGCTCTCAGGACTTATACTTGGGCGCACATGTGAGGAGTCCAGTTTCCTATATAGTCAAGGCACAGAGGTAATCTCCTTCAGAGGAGGGTTTGGAGCTTCATCTGACTCCTCTCCATCAGCTATAAAAGAGAAACTAACACAGACAAAGCTTCTTTGGAAAAACACAGGGAGCACAAAGAAAAGCAATGCAAGCAGCTCTTGGGGGCTGACAGAGGGAAGGCGGCGATAAGGGTTACATTATATACAGATCTTGCTGAGCAGCAGCTAAAAAATGTCCTGTCGTCATCAGCAAGGCGCAATAAGCAGGCTATTTTAGGCCAAACAATAGGAAAGGTTCCATATAATGGGTTTCCTTGGCTAATGGAACAGTCTCGCAAAGGAAGGGGTGGAAATCACCTGGCTTGGTGTGTTTAAGACGCAACAGGCATTCAGTTCTCTATCACACAAACGCCTATCTCCGGGAACTGAGAGGGAGGGCAAAATGTTGTTTCGGGATGCCAGGTTGTCAGCGTTAGATACACATGCCCTGCCCACATTACTCCTTCCTACCCTTCCTCTGTAGTGTGCTATCCCTCAGCTGTGCTGTGAGCCTGTGTCAGAATACATCTGTCCCTGGTAGGACAGCAATAAATTGGGAGTTGAGAGAAAACAGCCTAGAGCTGGTATTGCTGAGCACTGCATAACATGTCTAGGATGTTACTCTTGTCCTTTCATCCCACTAGAGCACCAAGTTGCCTGTATATGGATTGTCTCTGTCCCCAGTTTGTGTCTTTGGTAGAGATCGCAACACCTCACCTCCCCATCAGCAAATACCAGTGTGTTGCACATTCAGGACATTGCCATGCGTGAACTCCTTACGTCCTTTTTGCTACATTCATCACATCCTTCAGGAGCGCAGTTCTCAAATTGCAGTAGGATGCAGGGAAGAAGGGCATGCAAATGGAAAAGAAAACCAGAGGACCGCAGCTATTAAGCCTTCAGCCAGAAATCTATATGCAAAACAGGTGCCTAACCAGCTTGCATTTTCTGCATCCTGCTTCGCAGTTAAACCTACTGGGTTAGCTGTCTTGTCCTTGTTTTCCTGAACTTTTTCAGAAGTAGCCATACCCCTTCCTACGAAAGAGGGTCTAGTACATTTTTCCTTATGGCAAATAAGGCTGAGTAAGGATTCCCATTTTCAAAATAATGCAGGGCACTTTGAGTAGACTAACAGGAAATAGGGTAGGCAAAAAGGGCATTCCATTTTGAGCATCAATATGCAACGCTGTAAAGCAGCTCACCACATGGGGTAAGCTCCAGCACATTTACCAACTCAGCTTCCAGCACGATGCTTACTAGATACAAGAAACCCTCAAAAGGCTATGGAACTGACAGGGACAGAGCTACACAAAACATCTCTGACACCTTCTAGGGATTCAATTTGCTCTGTCTGAAGTAGGTGGGGGTCTTAATCATTACCGATAACCGTAAGACCTACTCTCTTTCCC